TTACATTCATATTTTATAGAAAAATAAATTAATTTTGAAAACAGAAGAACGGAAGAAGATAATATTAATTTTTTAATATATAGATTTTATACATATTTTATAATTATAACAAAATATATTTATAATTTGGTGCCAAAAATTTCATGTGTTCTGTAAATATGCATTTTATCTTTGAAATACTGTTTGCGATCCATCGAACATTCATTAACATATGCACAATGACATATGCTTGCAGAGGCATTATGCCTGAAATTGGAGGAAGACGCCAGATTAAATGCGGATGCACGTTCGTGCACGGGCTCGCTGGCTTCGCATCCGCGCAGCCGGGATATAAAGATATCTAACTTTTCTATTACTTTCCATGGCTGTGAACTGCTGCAAGACACCATGTTGGAGTTGAATTGCAGTAGACGTTACGGTTTATTAGGTCTAAATGGCTCTGGGAAGTCTACGTTGTTGGCGGTGCTAGGAAACCGCGAAGTTCCTATCCCGGAGCAAATAGATATTTTTCATTTGACTAGAGAAATGCCTGCAAGCAATAAAACAGCTCTGGAATGCGTGATGGAGGTTGACGAGGAGCGCGTGCGATTGGAGAAGCTCGCCGAAGAGTTAGTGGACTGCGACGAGGAGGACGCTCAGGTTTGTCTGCGAACTGATATTTTGTCTAGAAATCCTCGTAAAAAAGAATGTTTTATTTACAAACTTGCTCTACGCAGGAACAACTCATGGATGTATATGAGAGATTAGAGGACATGGCTGCCGACACGGCGGAAGCTCGTGCTGCCCATATTTTACACGGTTTGGGTTTTACTGCAAAAATGCAAACAACTCCTACCAAAGACTTCTCAGGAGGTTGGCGCATGCGTATAGCTCTTGCTAGGTATGCAAAAATTTTAAGTATATATGAGAAATCTAGAAAATTATAAAAAGGTCCATTTGTATTATGATAAACATTTTTTTTTTACATTTTTTCTACAGAGCGCTGTACGTGAAACCGCATTTGTTGTTGCTCGACGAACCGACCAATCATCTCGATCTCGATGCTTGTGTATGGTTAGAAGAAGA